TAACCATTTTTAAGTGTACCATTCGGTGGCATTAGGTACATTCACATCGGTATGTAACTATCGCCATTGTCTGTCTCCAAGTTTTATATTCATAATTCTCCTTCACGATAGGGATTGCTAGCCCCGTTTTACAGGGAAGGAAACTGAGGCGTAGAGTGGTACAGTAGCCTTCCTAGACTTTCATGGTTGGGGACTGACACCAGCTCTGTTGGCCCCAGGAGCCTGGGCTCTCAGTACCAGATTCAGCCTTTCTCTGTCCATTCTGTCAAAACATTGACAGTGACAGCGGCGGATGCTGCTGGGCGCCCCGCGCTGGGCCAGAATAACAGAGCTTTTACAGATGAGGAAGTTCACGTTCAGAGAGAGGGACTCGTTCGGCTGGTGGGTGCCGAGCCGGGATAGGAGCCACAGCTTTCTGACACCACCTCCCAGCTGGCACGGGGCCGGGCAAGGATTCAGATGCTTAAAATACAACACGAGTGTGCATTACAATGGGGGACACACAGCCCCAGGACTGAACCACTCATGCAAACATCGGAGACTCGTTTGTGTGCTTGGAGTCGGGGCAGGCTGGTGGCATCGTTACTGAGAGCCCAGCTTTGGCGTTAACCTGACAGGCTTAAATCTCAGCCACTTCTGGGCTGGGCTGGTGTTGACCCTTCCTGACCCTCCGTTTCCTCATTTCTTCCCTCAGGTAACGGGAGGATCCAGGCATTAATGCTTGCCTGGGGCTTTATGGAACCGGGGGTGGCACACAGTAGGTGTCCTAAAACTTTTCCCTTCTGTTACTCACCTCAGTGCTCTTGGGCGAACCTAGTGCAGAGCTTGGGTAACTTTTTCCGTGAAGGGCCAGCCAATAAATACTTCGGGCTTTATAGGTCAGAGGGTTTCTGCTACATATTCTTGTTTTGTTTTGTTCACAATCCTTTAAAAATTAGGAACCATTTTTAGCTGGTAGGTGTGTAAAAATGGGCAACAGGCCACTGGTCAAGAACAATGATAGTCCAGTAGAAATATCAGTGAACCATATACGTCATTTTAAACTTTCTCGTATCCAGGGGTGCCTGAGTGGCTCAGTCGGTTAAGCGTCCCGACTTCAGCTTAGGTAGTGATCTCCCGGTTTGTGAGTTTGAGCCCCGCGTTGGGCTCTGTGCTGACGGCTCGGAGCCTGGAGCCAGAGCCCGGAGCCTGCTTTGGATTCTGTGTCTTCCTATGCCTGTTCCTCCCTGCTCGTGCTCTGTCTCCCTCTCTCTCAAAAATAAATAAACATTTTTAAAATATTTAAAAATAAGCTTTCTTGTACCCACACTTAAAAGATAGGGGAGCTGGCTTAATGAGTAGAGCACATGACTTTTTTTTTTTTTTTAAGTTTATTTATTTAAGAGAGAGCTCAAGCTGGAGAGGGACAGAGAGAGAGGGACAGAGAGAATCCCGAGCAGGTTCCGCGCTGTCAGCATGGAGCCCAACATGGGGCTTGAACCCACAAACTGCGAGATCATGACCTGAGCTTGAAACCGAGAGTCAGACTCTTAACTGACTAAGCCCCCCAGAGGTCCCGAGCACTGGACTCTTGATCTCAACAGTTGTGAGTTCAAGCCCCATGCTGGGCATGGAGCCTTCTTAAAAAACAAACAAACAAGTTCAAAGATGGGTGAGATTGGCCACATTGTATTTTCTGTAACAGTGTATTTAAAGCCATCATTTCAGTATGTCATCAACGTAGATAAAGCTCCTGAGATGTTTTACAGTATTCCCATATCAAGTCTTTGACACCCAGTGTGTATTTTACACTTGTGGACCGTACTCGGGGCAGCTGAATTAGAAAGCGCGGGGTTAGCCCCCTTCCGTGCCTCAGCTTCCCCATCTCTAAAATGAGAGTGAAAATATTAACTCCCAGTTCTCGGGGATGTGGAAGATTTAGCAGGATGTAGACCCTGAGCACGGTAAGAGTTTATGGGGTAGGGAAATGTACGGGGAAAGGCGGTCCGGGTGGAGGTAGCAGGGTGCAAAGCTCGTGTCATGAGCAAAAATGCGTTGTCCTTGTGGCTCAAGGGGTTGAGTGGCTGGAAGTGAGTGCCAAGGCTGGGAAGGTGAGCCAGGGGCCGGGTTATGCTGGAGTGAGATCAACGGGCGCCTGCTTGAGACTCCTCTCTGGGTTTTCCGGCAGCTGCTAGGGCTTCTCGCCAGCGGGGAGGTGGCTGGGGAGATGTCTAGGCCTGATGGCAGTCTGTCCACCACCTCAGTCCTGTGACCCTGATTCCCTGTGAACGGACCATAAAGCTTTTTTATTCCCACCCTGCTAGGTGTTTCTGGCTCATTCTCGTCTTGCTGCTTGCTTCCTGCCCTGGTCTCTGCTTGTCAGAGTTCAGATTCCCAAAAGAGAATCTGATTGGTCCAGCTCTGCATTTGGGGCCAAGATGATTTGCTTCCTGATTGGCTGCCTGGTTAGGTCTCCTCCAATCGGCTCTGGCTTCCGTCGGGCAGGGGCAGGGGCAGGGGCTTTGGGCATGTTGGCTTCCCTAATAAGGGGAAGTGGGTGTGGTCAGTGATCTGATCGACATGAGGAGAGGCAGGAAGGACAGCCTGGGGACTGACCGGCCCTGATTGGAGATCAGGCAAGGATGATACCAGGGATTGGGCACGATGGTGGCAGGGAGGCAGAGTGGTTTTGGGAAAGACACCAAGCTCGACTGGGATGTGGTGAGCCAGGGGACCTGTGTCCAATGAGAGAATCAATAGACTCAGAAGAGGCAGATTAGGTAGTGGGAGGAGACTGAGGAGGGGGTGGGCTCCCCCCGGGTGGGAAGGATGCTCTGATGACTTCTGAGAACTTCATATTCACATTGAGAGGGGAAAAGGCACCCCTGATGGGGGGCACTGCATATGCAAAAATCTGGGGGTCAGAAAGGCTGGGGTTCATCTGCTGAACTCTGAGGGGTCTGGATAGCGTGCTGGGCAGGGGCTGGAGGAGAAAAAGGAAACTGAGGCAAAGTTTCGCTGTGCCAGACTGTGGAGCTTGCACTGGGGGCCCTACAGGGGTTTGGAGCTGAGCAGGATGTGGTCTGAAAGGAACTTTTCAATCCTTGGGCCTCTGACCTGGCTTCCCAAGGTCACCGAAAGGAAGGACTGGGAACCACATAGCAGCCTGGGAAAAAGGACTTGGGGCCAGGACCCTGGCATCCTTGTCTCATCCTGCCTCTTGTAATTTTAAGCCGAGAGCATTTTGAGACCTCATTTTCATCAGGTTATTGTAATCCCTTTTTTGCACTCCCCTAGCTGATCTGAGGGACACAAAAAATCACGGAGGTGAGGGGCGCCTGGGCGGCTCAGTCACTTGAGCGTCTGACTTCCGCTCAGGTCATGATCTCATGGTCTGTGAGCTCAAGCCCCGTGTCAGGCTCTGTGCTGACAGCTCAGAGCCTGGACCTTGCTTTGGATTCTGTGTCTCCTTTTCTCTCTGCTCCTCCCCTTCTCATGCTTTGTCTCTCTCTCAAAAATAAATAAACATTAAAAAAAAAAATTTTTTTTTTTAATCATGGAGGTGAAAACAACTAACTCCAACTAAGAGTGGGTAGTAGATAGCTTGGCACACCAACGCCAGTATTACAGCTGCTGCCAGTGCCAGACATCATTAATTGATCTCAGCACTTCTCCAGCCATGCCTGGCTTTCAGGGCAGCCATGACCAATCAATTGGAGTTACCATCTGTATCCTGTTTATCACTTGAGTATGGATTCTTTGAACGCAAGGACTACCTTTCGTGCCTCTCTGGGTTATCACAATACCCAGTGCACATTTCCCGTAGCATCCGTATTCTTAACTTTTTTTTTTAAATGTTTATTTTTGCAAGGGGAGGGGAGTGGCAGAGAGAGAGGGAGCCACAGACTCGACTCCAGGCTCTGAACTGTCAGAACTGAGCCCAAAGCGGGGCTCGAACCCACGAGCCATGAGATAACCTGAGCCGAAGTCAGACGTTCAACCGACTGAGCCACCCA